AAAAGGTATAAAAACAGAACATTTTTGAGAAAAATCAAAGTTTTTCGGACCTCATAATTAGGCCGAAATTTAATTAATTTTAATTCGGAAAGGTTTTCTGTGCTAGTTTTAATTGCACTAACAAATTTGCATACTGCGTTTCTTGATGCTATTGCCAGTTTTTTACTAAAATTATGAAAACCCGCAAAAAGGTATAAAAACGGACAATTTTTTCCGAATATCATAGTTTTAAAAACTCATAACTAAGCCAAATATTCATTAATTTTAATTCGGAAAGCTGTTCTATGCAACTTTTAACAGATTAACAAATCTGCATACTCAGTTTTCAAATTTAAAAATTCAATTATTTGTCAAATTTTGGCAATTTTAATGATGTAACCCCTTATCAAATTTTCAATTTTCGGAAAAATTCAGAAAATTTTTTTCGACGGACATGGCTATATCGACTCAGCTTTTGATGCTGATCAAGAATATATATGGTTATAGGGTCGGAAATGACTCCTTCATTACGTTTCAAGCTTCTGACTTATATTATATTCTTCAAAAAGGTATAAAAACAGAACATTTTTGAGAAAAATAAAAGTTTTTCGGACATCATAATTAAGCCGAAATTGCACTTATTTTAATTCGGAAAGCTTTTCTGTGCTAGTTTTAATGTTACTTACAAATCTGCATACTGCGTTTGTTGATGCTATTGCCAGTTTTTTACTAAAATTTTAAAAACCTGCAAAAAGGTATAAAAACTGACAATTTTTTCCGAAAATTAAAAAAAAAAATTAGGTAAATTATTTCTCAGTTTGTGCAACCAATCCACCTCTAAACTATACTTTGTTTACAGGGAACTGGAAAAAGTATTGTGTTTGATTTATGGCTATTTTGTGGATTTGTTTGTTTATGCAATTGAGTGTGCGAGTCGGTGGAAGAGATCGAGATCGGGAGCGAGAAAGAAGCCTACGGCACCCAAGCAGAAATTGTGCAAAATAAAACAAACAAAAGCGGAGCAACAAACACAGCGACTAACCAAAATAGAACCCCATTGTGCTTAAGATGAGGCTGTGGAGATGGAGGATGTGGCATGTGGGTTGGTGGGATGGTGGCCAGGGGCTGGCATACTCAGCCAAATCCCCGGCAATGCGCTGTCGATCATAAAGCGCCCAAATTGCGAGCTGTTGACATCAATTTTAATTGTGCCGATTTCTTTTCTCCCCCAAAAAGAAAAAGCGACCTTCGGATCCCATAGTTTTTGACACACAGAAGGAAAACAAGGCAGAATGCAAAAAGGGGAGGTGATGGAGGCGGGGGCAGTGGGCTATAGAAAATGTTTTCAAGTGCAAATCATTTACCCCCAATCGACATGGACACACAACACATGGAAGAAGGCTGCGCCACACCACAGACGGCGGGCGGCTTTGTTGCATTAATTTTATCCAGAATTGTGCAGCTGTAACCGATGCCAATTGCATCTATACATATACAATGTACATATATCTGTAGCATCTGGGCTATAATATCTGTATCTGGCGAGACATTTGCCACTTGTGCAATTGAACAAAGTCCAGGAACTGCAGGAGAAGTACTGCAGTTCGTGTCGTCGTGCACTCTGACGTATCGGAATTTTAGATAAATATACCCTGCAAATGCATTCCCAAAACTAGCGATAAACAATGCAATTTACCTAATGTAATTCGGTGGGATTTATGGACTAGCAAAATGTTTACAAGGTACAAAAATCTCAGGAATGCCAAAATCTAATGAAAACTTGGACAGGGAAATGTGCTCCAGGGAATGCAGAATTTATGAGGATTTTTCTTGTTGAGAATAAAGTCACGAAAAGATATTCCCATCATTTAATTGTACGAGGGACTAAAAAAAAAGTCTGCTTTTAAAATATTTTAATGACATACTTTGTAGAAGTTTAAATGTTTTATTAACTAAATTCATTTTGTGACACCCTTGCAGAGGGTATTTTACTTTTAAGTTTGGTAAATGTTATCAAAAATTCAACATTTTATAAGGGGTTAAAATCGTTAAAACTGTCAAAATTTGACAAACTATGTAGTTTTTTCAGTTTGCAGATTGCATTATTAAAACTAGCATAGAAATGCTATCCGAATTGAAATTAATGCATTTTTGACTGAGTTATGATATTTGAAAAACTTTCATTTAAACAAAAAAAATATAATATAAAAATATGAATTATTATGATTGATATTCAATTTGATCCTATCATTCAATTACAAACTGCAAGGGTATAAAAAACTTGGGCTTTCTGAAGTTAATTCCCTAGTTCCTTAAAATAAAAGGAAATGTCTTTCCATGTCTATTAGGTTCAAATGAAAAATTCCATTACATACCCACTACCCCCCTTGGTTAATAAAAAAAGGAGAGATATTTATTAAAAGTGCTTTTCTATTCTGCGAAATGTCTTGATAGCAATTGTATAAACATTTCCCCAATGCGACATTTAAGCATTATTTTTTCCATGGAAGGAAATCGATCTACATATTTAGTAGATCAATTCTTGGTAATTTTCCTGTTCCTGCACCTTTTCCTGTTTTTGGTTTTCTGGATGATTCAGACAGTGTATTTCGTTCCCTGCTTAAGTTTCCCTTCGTCTGGGATAATATTTGGAAGTTATTCTTTTTGCGAATATTCAACCCTTAAAGTGAGTACCTGGAGGGTTAGTCTGGGTCCCTCTAAATACCTGTTAAATCCTCGTACACCTGACAGAGGGCAGCCTGACGGAGCTTCGCCTGCTTGACTTCCTCGGCGGCGGCATATGTGAAATATGAAGCGGATTGCCTCTGAACCGTGACCACTTGGTTGCTCTTCTTCCCAAAGTGACTTCCAAAGTTGAACTGTACGACCGGTAAGTGCAACATTTCGCCCTGTAGATCCTCGAGGATCGGGCTCTGGAATATAACTAAATTCGAGACGGGCTCGGGGAACGCTTGAAATGCATTTTGCATAGCCACAGGTGGTTCGAAGGGAAGGTAAGGTAAGGTATGGAATTGCAGCAAATAGATGGAGAGATGGAAATGACCAATGGCCAAGTGTGGGAAAAGTGCAGAGACTCACAGGTGGCGGCAACCATTTTTCGCATTTCGGGAATTTCCTTCCTTTCTGCCTGGGCGAAATTCGCTGTTGTTTCAATTCTGCTTTTCACCATTTTCCTCGCTGGCTGGCTGGCGGCCTGCCAGAAACATGATGAAAAACTAATTGAGAGGCATCTAAGGAACGTAAAAAGCCATCGGAGCAAAGAGGGCGGTTTGGGATTTGCGGGCGGTGAGTCGAACTACACAGGGAAAACCATATCCATGGGGATTTTTATCAATAAAGTCATACAATATACAGAATTTAGTTTAGAAATTCAAACAATTTGTATAATTGATGACATAACTCTAAATCCCTTGTTTATAATAAAAACAAAACATAAAAAACAACTCAGCTATGGTTATATAATTTTTAAGATGAATATATTGTAATTGTTGGAATGACCAATGGAATTTTACTACACTACGGATGCAAATCATTTCTTTCGGTGTAAAAGAATTTGTCAAACGGCACAGACTCATCAAAGAAAAATCTTGTAATAAAATTACGCATCCCGCGGAAGCCTTGACGTAGGAGAGGACCGGATCCGAAGGTCTGCGGGGCATGTAAAATGGCCATTAGCATTGAGGGACGACGGAAAACACGGACTGCAGACTATATTGTAGTTTTAGGCATGTGCGGCCTGTCAACATGTGTAAAGGGAATGGGTGGTAGGAGACCCGCGGGGTAGGTACATTACACGGCAAAAAGGGAAACGGCAACGGTAGAGATTGAGGATCAAGGAGTCTGAGAAATATCTCTCTCTCTTTCGAATAAGAAGAGGGAAGACAAGGATAAGATCTTCCTACCTGAGGTAAGTAAGAAAATTAACGAAAATTCGAAATGTTAAAAAAAAATAGCACCATTTTAAAAACATCATAAACATCAAAGGTTAAAATAATTTTATTAAATGTTTTCCTGATTATAAACTCATACGGAATTTATAAACTCAATACGCAACAAAATATATTTAATGAACGTTTTATTTGTTTATGCCGCCGTCGGAAAAATTCTTCAAAGACACACATATTTACACGTATTATCAAAGGCATTAACCTTTAATATTAGATGGGGTAATGTTTGGAATTGCTACTTTCGGGTTGGGCCTTATAATACAATACTCTTATTTGAATTTTGGGAAACAGATTTTGTATACTGAATATAATTTTTTTTTGTTTATAAGAAAACACATTTAATATACAAATTTTAACAGTATTTAACTGACTACGTTGATAAATCTAAGTTTTGTAATAAATAATACCGGAATAATATAACAGAATATTGTTTCAGATGTATTCTATAGTTTAAAATAAAAATCTACTTTGCTATTCAATTTTAATTATATTATTTATTTTTCCAATTTATACTGGTTAGCTAGGTCAGCTGGAAAACGCCGAGCTGTCATCTCTGATAACAGGAAACCCTCTTGGTTTTGTTGTTGCTGCCTGTCTGTCCTTCTTTCTCCTACTCTCACTACAGTTAGGGCGCCTGGGTCATTGTTGTTGCCTGCTCTCGGTACAGTGCCGGCGGGGTGAGCGCGAGCGGGACGGAAAGAGAAGGGGAGAGGGAGAGGCACGCATTTTGCACATACATTGTTTTTGTGCGATAAATATCTTCTACACAGAAATAAATTCGGAAAATAAGCTTAAAAATGTACCGACGCGATGCCGTTGCTTTTTTAGTCCGTGCAAACGTATATACGTATATATTAACATTGTACTTATACTCGAATTTATTTGCTGCCAGCGACATTTTTTATGAGGATCTTTTGGCCCCGACTGTGGTTGCGGCGCACCCCTCAGCGCAGCACCCCTTCGACGGCATTGAAAAGTGACAAATTCGGGGACATTACGGTTGGGGACGGGTTGCCACGCCTCCACGCCCTCCAACGCCCTCACAGTACTCACCGCACTTGGATTGCTGCTCCTCTATGGTCTCCATTTCGATTGATCCTCACTTTTTGGCAATTATTCGCAAACATGTATCAAATACAGGGCACGCACACACACACACACGGGCACAGGTAAACAAACGCACAAGGAGACAAATAATTCGTTTGTACCCGGATTTGTTTATTTCACATTATTTATTGGAAGATGTCTGTGGCGTTTGCTGGTTTCGTGCACTTCCCGGACATCTTTTTATTTGGACAAATCAACAGATTGCTCAACCGAAAAGCGCGCACAGGCTGGCGTCGCCTGGATTTTTTAAGCACCGATCGCTGAATATTCGCACGTGTGCACCTGAGAAACCTGTGTATTTAGTTCACGGAACAACTTGGATGCGGCTGCGCGAGTACAAAATAAAATTAAATTAAAATTTTAACGGCCGCGGCGCGTCGGAATTGCAAAAGTTGTTGAAAAAATATCAAAATACGCCATGTTCTTTTTTGGATGTTCTTTGATATTTGTCTTTGGTCACTCTGAATTCCGTAGCTGTTGCTTAACATTTTACCTCTTATATGTCAAGATAGTAATTTTACACGTTTACAGATACACGGGGTCGAATTTTCACTTTTGGGGTCAAATTCTGGTGTAAAATGTAAATGCGTAACAGTGCTCTCTCGGGTGCTTTCGGGTTTCTGGGCGTTGTAACTAACCAACAACAATATATCAAAATACCAATATATCAATATATATATTATATATTTTGGTATTTTTAAATATTTTGTTTCTGGTCGCTCTGAATCCCGAAGCTGTTACTTAACATTTTACACCTTACACGGATAGAAAACCATTTCACACACATTCAGGTACATGTAAAATTCTCATGTAGGAATTTCGAACAAATGCGTGTAAATATTAAGATTACTGCTTATTTAAAACTCAATAATAAAAATTTAAATTTCAAATCATAATAATGTTGTTTTGTCAAAGTTTTTTGTTCTCAGAATCTAGCTTTTTCTATGGCTCAACACTGACAACAATGTAGAGGTGGCAACATAGTCGATAGAGTATTCGATGGCAAATGGAAAAGTAGTTCATGTTTTAAATACACAAATGTTTGTATTAAATCGGCACAGCTTGGTGGATAATACTTGGCATATATTTTTTACCATCAGCGTGCCAGTAATATCCATTATTCTTTTGATTTGTGATAAGTATTTAAATAAGCGCTCCCCAACACCTGCCACAAGCGTTGCCACATCTCTCACACTTGTTGCACACACCGACGCAGACGCACCCACACAACTGCGGGCCATTACGTCAATATGGCAAACAATCTGTCAAACCCGCAATTACAACAACAACTCGTTGACTGTTGGTCAATCAGGATTTTGCTGTGGCTGGATTTGCGAAGGAGCTAAACAGGACCCTGACACGGACGGCCATAAGCTGGCGAGGATTTGAAGCGGTGCCCCACAATTCGCCGAGGAAAATGCTGCCGCAGCCGCCGCCCCACGGATTGAAGTTGATGTCGGGGGCAGAGGAGAACCGCCACTACTTGCGCGCCTTCATCCAGACATACAGGGATCTGCCCGTGCTGTGGGACACCTCTCTGCGGGACTACACCAATCGGGAGAAGCGGGCGGAGGCGTACCTACGCCTGGTGCCCATCTACCACTACCTGAAGCGGGACGCCACCGTGGAAGATGTGAAGAAAAAGATCAACACGCTGCGCACGAACTACCGCAAGGAGCTCAAAGTGGTGGAGAGTGCGATGCGGGCGGGAAGTATGCATAGTCCGCGGTGCTGGACCTTCCAGGAACTGGACTTTCTGAGGAACTCTGAGAAGTTCCTGGCCGTGAATCCCGTCTTCAAGAACGAGCACTCCTTCGCCTTCAGCGAAGGTAGCAACTGCACCACTGCCTTCCTGGAGAGCACAGCAAGCAATACCCTACATTATCCAGCAGCTCGGTCCGGTGGCCAAACGCCCAATATCACGGAGATGTTTCACAAGTCATTCGGGCCGCCACCACCTCCTCCGCCGACAGTGAACCATGGCGAGTACGTGAACATCAACAAGCGAGCCAGGCAAACACCGCCCTGTCCAGCGCCAGGGACCGGTGGAACAACCGGTTCTCACAATACGGACGAACTCCTAAACATAGCGTGCGAGTATCTGTCCAGTACCTATCCCGAGGAGGAGTCCATTGCCCGCACCTGGACGCACAAGCTGAAGCGACTGCCGCGCGAACAGCGTCTCCTGGCCGAGCGCTTCATCAACGAGATCCTATTCGAGGCCGAGTCCAACAACCTGAACCGCGGGTCCGTGCAAATCAACAGCTTCGAGCCCTACGTACGATACGAAGAACCTACAGGTGGACCCGAGGAGCAAGAAAAGTCCCAGAGCCCCAGCGTGCACACGTCCAGCGAATCCAAACCGAATGTGGGCGGTGCAGGTGCAGGGACTGGAGCCGTTGGAAACACCAGCACGTCCAACACAAATCCAGGCATAAGGGAGTTTTAAGTTAACTTAGCTAAGTGTTATTAAGTTTAATTGGCCGAAAGGGAGAACAAGCAATGGCCCTTGACATAGCGGCGAAAGTCTAACAAGCTGAATCAAAAAATAAATAAACCTGTACATATTATCAAGATGTGGAGTGCCCATCAATTCAGACGCTGGTAGTCGACCAGGTTGCGGGTAAACCAGACATATGGCGAGGCACCTGCCAGAAAAAGGCAGGCGCCGATGACGGGACGATGCAGAATCCAGGCCACTGCCGCAATGGTGAGGCCCAGCCAAAGGGCGATGAGTAAATTGCCCGTCACCGGGAAATTCGGATCCGGCACCAAAGAGATAGGCAACGGAACGTTGAGAACTGGAAGGGAGTAACGCAATAACTAATAAGATATGGCTTTCCACAATCAATTAACTCACAGAGTAAACGCAGGATCTTGGTGTTGCACGTGACCCCAAAGAAGATGAGCAGCCAACCGACGAAGCGCCACCACCAGGTGTGCAGCACCTGGGCGCGCGACTCCAGCCGGAATACCTCCTGAACGCTAAGTCCACCCGGATAGACGAGGAGCACAGGAACCCCGCGTGAGGTGACATATGGCTCCAGTCTGTTCCCGATCAGCTTGCCGACCACACTATACGTCTCGCCCTCCATGCCGGCGAAGCTGAAGAGTAGACGCAGGTCGCCTACCTCCGGATTAAACACGTCGTTGGTGTGGTAGTAGATGCCCAGGTGTAGCTTTACGGTGCTGTCCTCCGGCCGGATATCTGAGGTTATCTCCTGGTAGTTGCCGAACTTGGCCTTTACCTCCGCTCCCAGCTCGTAGCGGCCTATGTAGACGGCGTCAGCCACCTGTACATGGCTCTCGATGGGAAAATGTGTGGGATTCGTGTGTCCGTGGCGGTTGTTGAAGTTGCGCGAGTCAACGATCTTGTCCCGCCACTCCCGTGTGTAGTAGTAGTCCGTAACTGTCGCGCCCACGCTGTCCTCGAAATTATGCTCGCTGCGGGGGCAAATGGAATATCCGAGTTAATTAATCAACATACAATCCTTAAAAATGAGTAGGATAAAATATATACAAAAGTATCAACCTACACCCTCTCCTCGACCCACTGATACATCTGGACCCTTCGGCGCAGCTTCACGCCAGCAGCTGTATGTTGTAGTCCGGCTCTGTGAGCGGTTCGCCCACAATGATGGGGCCGGAGAGGTGGACAATTCGACCGTCCATGCCAATTTCCTGCTCCTCCTCCGTGAACCGGACAGAGTAGATGTCGGCGTGCGCCTCGTCCAAAGCCATCATGTTGTGTACCGCGCGTCCCTCATTCCAGTAGAGGACGGTGCTCCCGGCGATGAACAGGATCAGGCCGAAGAGCGAAATGAGCCACTGGGAGCGTAGGGTTTCGCCCAAAGTGGCCATGGATACGGAGAATTGGGACAATACATCCGATAAATAAACCTCAGCTGATTAGTGTGGCCAGGCGGCCAGAATGGTATTTTCACCTTAAAACACAGAGTAAATGCGCGGTTGAATTCAAATATAAAATTATCAAATTAATTTCGCTGATATCGATAATCCTTTCTATTAAGCTAATTTGAAAAAAGTTATAGGTATTCGTCTTGGAACCCATATAAGTAAATACAACTATTAATAATATTTAGAAAACAGCTGGCGATAACCTTATCCCCAATGCTTTTCATCCCCTTTCATCAGCTGTTTAACCTAATGAAATTGCCATAAATTCCGGCTCTAAGGATTCAGGACTCTAATTTTCTACATCCTTGGTATGGCGGTGCCTAAAATCGTTGATCCATACATTTGGAAGGAAATCGAAGAAGAGAAGCTTCTCTGGGAGAAAAACAAGGAACTCAAATACGAGTCGAATCAACTGCGATTCAAGGAAATTGATCAACGGAACCGGAAGGAGCTTAAGGAAATGGACGAAAGACATCAGATAAGACTTCAAGAGAAGGACGAGCGACTGCAGAAGGAGTTAAAAGAAATGGATGAAAAGCTACAAGTACGCCTGAAGAAAATGGACATAGAAGCCATGTTGAAGATTAAACAAATGGAGCTGGAAGCTGAGGAGCGTTTAAGAGTGATCGAACTAAATCTAAAATATAAATCACAAGAGTAACCTAATCATGACTAGAAGGAAAAAAGAATGTACAGAAACTATTCGTAAATTGAAAAATTAATGTAAACGTGTACATGTAAGTACAATAATAAATATAAAGCTTTCAGAAGTAGACTTAAAATAAGAAAGCTGCCCACTACTATCAAGGTATCGTGAAATTGGAATTTTTCGCCCTTTACCGGTGGTCACATAGCGAGTCAATGAAATCTACGTTACAAAGGGGAGATTTTGCCATGACGAGTTTTACTAACCTGATAAATGAAAATATAGCAAAGGAACTAAAAAGGATGGATAACACATGCATTTACAATTAAAAGAAAAAGATGAGAAATGCCAAAAAGAGTTGAAGGCCATGGAGGAGAAGCTGCAGATACGATTGAAGGAAATGGATATCGAAGCCATGTTAAGGTGAAGAAAATGGAGATGGAGATTAAAAAAATGGAGCTGGATGCGGAGGATCGGTGGCGACACGGGAGCTGAACTTAAAGTATAATATTGAAAGAAAATAATTGTGTGCAAAATCCAACTTGTAATTTATAATCTAAAAAAACGAAAAGCTTATCATTGGTCACCTGTCCGTGGCAGAGATATAAAACAAATCGTTGTTTAATAAAAACAAATATGATACAATTAAATACAATTAACTTTTTTAATGGGTAAGAAGAAGTCAATCTTAATCAGCTCTATGACAGCTCTTGATTATTAACTTAATTTAAACAAAATAAAAACATTAAAAGGCAACTCCTTCTGTGTAATATTTTATGAATGGATCGGTCTTTATTTACAATACATATTTATGTTATTTATCGTTATATAATTCCTCAATTCAAGCTCTAGCCAATGCGTACACGTATTTTATAAACTTTTTCTCGTTAGTATGCTACATAATAATATGCAAAAACATAAATATCACTTGCCTGGCGCCAACAGAAGTCCGTTTCAAAGTTTAAATGATTTTTTGGTCAGTTTCCGTTTTATTTCTAAACATAATCTTACAAACAAATTAATAACAATCAAAGTTAGGGCATGTAAATTTGTCAACTAAGGTTTAAAATTATTTAACAGAATATAACTAAACATAAACTGTTCATGGTCGCGCTTTACAAAAAAATAATAGATAATTTTTGCAAGAAAATTAAGATTCTACTACATATTTGGACAAAGAATCACGCAGAAGTTCCATTGAAAAGGCGCACTTTTCTATAATCGTAATTAGATATTTATATTTTATATTGTATATATGTATATGTGGTGTTTTGTGTCTATGCAAAATACATAACTTGCTGCCAGCAGAGCGCGCATAAAATTTACAAATTTAAATCTTAGTACACAATTGATGTAATATTTTTAGCCGGCTATCACTGATAAAAATAACTTTGCTCTTTCTTTTCCCTTTTCTTTTTTTTTTGGTTTAATTGAAGCAATATACGAAACACGCGGCCAGAAAGTTCTGTTTTTTAACTAAATTACGTTAATAGAACCCATTATTTGTCATCATGTAGGTAGTTTTTAAGGTAGTTGTTAAGGTAAATATACTAAAGTTTAAGGTAATTCATTTGCTAGCCTGCAAGGGTGTGTTTCTATAAGGTTATACGCTTTGAATATATACGAATTCATACAACTGTTATAAATATGTATATATGAATTTGCACTTAAACCAAAGAATGGATTTTAACGTTGACTAACATGCCACACAATCAAGTAACTCTTATCGCCTCGATTTTCGATCGTTTGATTTGGTTCCAGTTGAATACTGTTCTCCATGTCGTTATCATCTGTAAGTGTACCATAAAAGTAAGTAAGCATTCATTGTTTTACAACATTTAATACAAATATAACCTATCTGATAGATGGGTTAGTCAGTGCTGTGATGCAAGGCTACTAGGTTACTTAGGATTCGATCATTTACAGAGATCTTACAGGGCACAATACAGTTGGGAAGTCTTTTCATGTGAATATAATTAAAAAAATTAATTGTTATTATGAACCAAAAATTAGTTAGCCACTTTCTGTGGTAGTTTGTTTAGGTCTTTAACTTTTTAAATTATATAAAATTAAGAAGTATTTAAACATTTGGGAATAATACAATATTAAATATATTTTTAGAAAAATTAATTTAGTTAAAAGATATGTGTACATATGTAGGTATTAAGACCAAACCGGGTTATGGTGTGAGATAACTAAAGCAGTTAAGCAGGAAATAAAATAATCTTTAAATTGAATCATAAATCCTCAAGGGACCTTGTAATCAATTTCATTCTTAAAACATAATTCTTTTGGAGGTGAGCTCGTTTTTGTAAGCTTAGTTTCCCTTCTTTAAACCTTTTTTTATTTACAGTGTAAATATAACCAATTCCTTGCATTAAGGTGTTCTTAGACAAAAGGACAAGGTACACCAATGGGAACTGTGCGGGAGACAGTGTGCTTGTGCTCAGGACAACCAAGAGTGTTTGTTTCGTATTTAAAACAGTCTTACACCCTCCACACACATTTTAAGATGGACAAAGACTGGTGCAGTTTGAGAACAATAAAGAAAAAGACGAATCAAATAAAAAGAGGGACTTGCTTAAACCTGCTCTTAGCGCCAGGCCACTGGTGAGGCAAATGCTGCACAATCCCCGTTTGGGATACGGATACCATCCTGCGCTACAGATTGAAGGTTCTACAGAGGGCAGAAATCAAACAATTAAGTCGAATTAAAGCAAAACAAAAACAAATTAAACTGGGGACAGTAACAAAATAGGAACAAAGCATTCGGCGAATTAGGCAAAATTAAAAGAGCAATGCAAAAACAAAATAAAATCGAAATAAAGAAATAAATCATAAGCTTACGTATCGACTTTCCAAACTATCAAGTGCGCTGCATTATCGCTAGCATCGAACTTATCATGTCCTGCAGATGGGATGGAGGAATATGGAATGGTTATACACACGGCTCTTAGAGCTTCGCCGCCGGGTCTGGTTCACTCGGTGGTGTCCACTTACTTATGCGAAAATCAATGTAGCCCTCGCCGCCGCACATGACCAGCATATCGGGCCGCTTGTTGCTGAAGGTCAGGCCGCCGTTCATGCTCGGTTGCTGCAGCATCGGCACAGACACAAAGAACTTGACCGCGTCCCGGTGGCCGTGGAAGGAGAGTTGAGCGTTGGCCATGCAGCATAGCGGCATCTGGCCATTGGGATCAGCTGCAAAAGCAATTATTATCAAAACCATTTCCATAGATAAAACACGAAACAAAAACTCACATGACGTCTTTTGCTGCACCTCGGCCAGCGGCACCGAAATGATGACGCCATTGCTGGTGCCGATCCACAGCCTGTTGCAGGACACCATAGGGCGGTGATGCGGACGAAGCTGAAGCCCAGCTTCCCGGTGCCGAGCATCTTAGATACATAGGGCTCAATATCCACGTCCTGCTTGTGCTCGAACGTGTGCGTGTTATACAGCCGCAGAGTGGAGTCCAGTCTGGGGAGGCAAATAAAGAATTGGGGAATACACACGGGGATAACCATAACTAAGCTAACATACCTGATGGAGACCCATACACCTGCTCCGGTGGCAGCCATTTGACGCACTTGGCTCTCCTTGCGCGGATGAGCGTCCAGCGAGTGCACAATGTTGAGCGATACGGGGTCAACGATGAAGATCTTGTTGCGGTGCGCCGCCCAAATGCGCTCGCCGGCCACACAGAGGCAACGTATCGAATGGTTGCGATCACCGAGCGTCACCAGGTGATAGCTATTCAGATCCCATTGGCCGTCTGTCTGGCGGCGGAACACGGCCAGCTGGGCATTGGCTAGCGCCACAACAACCCTCGCCTCCACATGCACAATTGCTAGAACAGCGTCCGGCAGGAGAACCCGGTGCAAGCACTCGTGCCACCTTCCCACGCTGCTGTGCACGTACAGCCAGCCGTCTGGGCGCCCAGCCACATTGTGGGACCCACCGAACTCATAGACGGCTCGTCGCGTTCCTTGGTGCCAAGGATGGGATTCAGCGATTTAGTGGCGAAGAGAACACTGCTGTTGCTGCTGCTGTGTTGTTATTATTGTTCGCTGGATGGCTGCCATCGGCGTTCGCGAGTCGCTGAGGAGCGCCTGGCAATGCCTGACGAATCTTGATGGCCTCCACATTGCCCAGCGGCTCCTCGGCACTCACCGCAGGCAACTGCTCGTTGGACTTTTCCGTAGCCTCCTTGGCCTCTTCATCCTCCTGCTGCTGCTTGGCATTGCTGTTCTGTTCGTCTTCAGACTTCGGTTTGACTCGCACAAACTCCACTTTGCCGAGCAACTCCGCACCCTCGCCGGGACGCTGCAGCATCTCACCCGCCTTGACCACCTCCGACTGCTCCAGCAGCGCATAGTCGCTCTCCATTGCTCCCTGGACGGAGGCAATGCAGAGCAGATGCGAGGAGCAGATGGGAAAGGCATCTAGAACGGTGGCCGACTGATTGGCATCCACCACACTGACCGTACTGGCCGCATGCGTGCTCGTGCATATCCACACAAACGAGCTGAGCTGCGTCTCCGGCTCCAGAGTCTCTAGACTGGCCCGGGCCATCTGTCTGTCCAGAGCCTCCACGCTCTGCTCGGCCGTGGGACTGGTGATCTCGGTGATCTTGAGCGTCGACTTGGGGGCATATGGTGAGTTGCGGGTATTAGCGACTGGCCGTCCTTGGTGAAACCGCCGTGGAGATTCACGCCTGCCGCACAGAACACCTTCATATGGGGCGAGGCTTCCGCCAATGGATTACAGTAGACGGGACTGGGACACCTCCAGAATGCCGGCTCGGATTCGCCTCCTGGCTGGCCTTGTTGATAGGCAAACTCCAGCCGTAGGCGTGCAGGCGACCGTCCTCTTTTGAACGTGGGCGCGCAGCTGACGGTACTGTTCCCTTCTTCTCGCACTTATCCGCTCCGAGCTGCCTTCCTCGGCATAGTCCTTTGGCATAACGAGGGCATTGCCAGACCGGCGCTGGCTGGATGCACCGGCGGCTGGCCGCTGGTTAGGGCCAGGCGATTTTCGCCACTTCCACTTCCTCGGCTAGGTGATCCGTGGCTGTGGGCAGGGCTTCCTCCGCCGGTGTGACGAAACATCGGCCCCCCTCCGAGACCGTCCGCAACGCGTTCCGTTGGGCGGTTGGAGGGGCTGTCCATAGGAGCGCATAAAAAGGGTAAAACATGAATAGATAATATATATCGAAGGGGCGTCCTCGGTAAACTTACGTAAAAAGATTACTAAAGTACTTCCAAATGCTCTGCTTCGACTTCTTGTCCAAATTATCCACAGTGCGCGAGGCGCGGAGTATTTCCGTGAGACGAACTGCCTCCTGCAACTCCATGAGTCGTTCCTTGTACTGGTTGCGCTCCATCAGAACCATGGCCATCTCCACTCGGGTGAATCTCTTGCGCTGGGCCAGCGGTACATCGTTTTCCTCCTGCTCAGTGTCTAAAATATAGAGGTTTCATAAATATCCATTCCGATTTATACATGTATGTAGGTGTACTCACTCTGCTGCTTGACCTGCTCCTTGGCCTTCTTTAGCTCATCTTCCAACTCGCTGATGCGCTGCCTTAACTTTGTCCTTGACTGTTGCATAGCATTGAGCTCCTCCCGGACAATTTCCACCTCTCCGGTGAGTTCATCCACTTTTACAATCAAATCGTCCTTGACAATATTGAGTGCATTTCTGTTCAAAGTGAAAGGCATAAATATAATTCATCTCTTAATAATTTAATTTTTGAGAAAACTCACTTGGTGGCCAGCAGCTCATTGTTCTCCATGATGAGATTTTCAACCTCCTTGCCCATGCCTGTAAGTGATTGGAAAACTCATCTTTAATAATGGGTAATAATTGGCTAGAGATAAGTAAGGACACACGCAAAGACCTTATAAAAATAAGATGCATTCGTCAATATATTTGAATACCACAAAACATAAATCTTTGAAGCAGATTTAGTTTGAAAATTAAAATCGTATAACCTTAATCATCTAATTATTATAAGATCTTTGATAAAGGTGCTTTAAAGCGTTGGGAAAATGAAAGTGAATTCATAACTATGGTGTTAGGATTTCAAACAAATACAAGTAAACAATAATGAAAATAAATTGGAAAGAAATGTCAGATGCTGGCAACCTCCACATACTGTTTTGCATTCATAAAAAATACGAGAAGAAATAACCGAAACCTCACTAAGAAATAAACTAAAAACTAGCAAAATCAGACAAACAGGGGAGCCACAGAAATAGGTAACAACTATACTATTTTTATAATGTTTATAAAATAGTTTTAAATGATTACCAATTAATATCTATTTCTGTAGCACCCCATATTGATAAATGAAGAAACTACAACCAAATGATATGGCAAAAACCTCCTGAAAGATGTCCCAAGTCAACATAAAAGTAAAGGAAATCAATTATTGGAATGGCTTAGTTATTGGGAAATAACTACTTACGATGATAAAGGAATAGGAGGAATTACAACTACTTTTGCAATAGTTAGAAGCTACTTAAGGGGGTACTCGTAGCGCCCTTTACACTTACCAAAATAGTTGTCGTTAGCTTCAAAGGTACAAATACAATGCAAATATTGTTTGTTGTTTGTGGTTTGTGTTTAGTAGTTTGCAAGAGGAATTTGTTTTTGGTTTTTTGTTTGTGGAAGGAAACGTAATGGTTTTGGATTTTGGGCAAGTAGTAGAATTCGGCATAAAAGAAAGAGAAATTTCATTAGAGCTCATGACAATACAATCTTTTATTTGTTTTTCTAAATTAAAATATTTTCCAGGTTTTCTAATGCTTCGAGCACATAATTTCCAACAGATATCACAACAAGGAAATAAGAACTAGTGAAGATCATCCTTAAAAACACTCGTTTTTGATCAGACCGATCGATCAGTCTAATCTTGCATGATACTTGATGTATTTACAGGTTATATAGATGAATCCATATATGTAGGAATTATAATATGGTGTTTGTGGCTGAGTTTCTTGTAACTGTGTACTTTGCTCTGGCTGCTGTTGATGGTCTTGAGTGGTGATTGAGTGGTACCTACCTGAGGATGCATACTCTCCGGGATGTACCCAGCTGCCTGTGGGCCCAAGATCAATTCAGTTCCACGAGTGTGTCAATGTTTGGTGTTTTGTTGGATTCACGGGCGCGGAAAGGCAAAAAAGTAAGAAATAGGAATAAAGGCATTGAGTACTGTTTGAAACATTAACACAAATGGTTAGCATTGTGATGGTCGAGAAAAGAATAGATTAAATATTCATTCACAACTAAAACTATATTAAGGTTTGCCCTCTTGACCAAGTCCTTTAGGATATATCCATTCTAAGCTATAATTTTAGTTCATTGTGAACACAGCACTTAAGGATGAATTAAATGGCCAAAGAACTCCTCACCTGTGACAATCTCATTCTCTTCACTTTCCTCGTTGTCCTGGAAGGACAGCTCTTGGTAAAGATTGTTATCCGAGCGCTGCTCCTTTTTGGTGGTCGAACGACCACTGGGATGGGAATTTGGATTTGGGTTGTTCGGTGGCGGAGTTTTTGTTTAGTCGAGTTAACACACAAAAATCAAAAGAGAAGTGATAAAATTAGTACGGTGAGCGGTTGAGTAGTAAGTATATATAGTAAGCAAAGCATAAGATCCCTGCGATTTCACACATACCATTTGCGGGCACATTTGGCACAATTGGGCTGCTGTCGGGGCTTTGGGGCGAGGTGCCCTGATGCTGCTGCTGCAGGGCATCAGTGGCAGCGCCGCGTTCCACCGTTCCAGCGGCTAGGCTATCGAGCTCATTCTGCAACGACGGTGGCCCCGAGTCATCCGACTGGCTGCCCACGCTGCAAATGTCTCTGTGTCCAGCATCACCGAATTCTCCAGCGAGGCAAAGCCGTAGGAAACGGGTCCCGAGCTGCGAGCCACGGGATTGAGTCTGGCTCGACTCACCTCCATGCGGTCGGAGGCGGTACTCATTTGGGAGTGCGTCGAGCCCATTAGCATTTTGGTGCGTTCCATGTAGTCCACATGGTTTTTAAACAGCTCCGTATACCGTTCGTGCAGCTTGTTGTACTCCTACGAATGTTCAAAATAATTCAATTTAATTGCTTAGAGTTGGATTAAAATAATCGTAGCTGTTCTCACCTTCTTGAGATCCGCCTCCCGCTCTTCCAGCCGACTGGCATGCTCTAGGCTATTCTTGTGCTTCAGTTCTAGCATTCGGACAATGCTCTCCACCGATTCCAGGCGCGTGGCGAGCTCCTTGTTCTCCTGCTCAGCCAGGTCCTCAGCCTCCAATAGCTATCAGAAACAGAATATGGTTACTTTTTGCCATTGACCATATTCTAATTGCACTCACCTTCTGTTCGGACTGTTTGCGGGCACTCTTTTCCCGCTCATATTGTGTCACCAGCTGCTCGTTATCCTCTCGCAGCAGCTCCACTTCCACATCCTGCTCCTGATTGATACGATACGAGGCATCCAGGCACTCCAGCACGTTCACCAGCAATGGCATCAGGTTCTTCACCACATCCTCGTCATACCGATTGATCATACGCTCGAACTCCTGATAAATGCTCCCCGCCAGTTGTTGGACCTGCAAACAAAGGCGTGGCACATGGCAAAAAAGAACAAAAATACGGTGATATGCATCAGTTAATTTTCTTTGAATTTCGTGAGTCAAAGGGAACACAAGGTGCAATTAATTAGTAGAGTATCAAGAGGCGAGGAAGATAACATTGAATACCCTTTCCTGTCATGATATTTCTATCTCACAGGAAATATTTATGTCGGAAGACACTAATTTAACTTCAAAACTAATGACCAAACATCGAATAGATGCGTTACGCCATGCGATTTAGATTGTTTTTACGTTATAGGTAATTATATTGTAAGGGTATTCAATAGCTTCTACCTCTTAAATAGATCCTTCCCAGATTTAATTTGCAAAACAACAAATGCAATTACAGAAACGGAGAGAGTAAGAAGTAAAGATAGTAGAGAGCTCCTCCCATTTAACTGCTTAATTAAATCGGTTAGCATAATTGCGGTTTGTGGCCGCTGTTTTATGAATGGAAAGCTCTTGTAATATGACCTAATGTGGTTTTTTAATCTCTGGTAATAAGCCCCCCTTCAGCCGTAATCGTAAGTCATGCGTTTTGTTAATAAACAAAGGAGAGAAAAACTATTATTTTCTCTTAAATGAATATATTAAAGCCGAGAAAGGTTAAGGCTGACACCTTCTTGGCCTTAAAATTGTTAGTAGAAAACGTAACAAAAATAAACAAACCAAAGCAAGGCATGAATAAAACTATTTTATCGTGCATTTGTATATATCGTAATGTGAATAACAACGAATATAGTATAGGACAGAAATTATATAGACCACAAACGAAAAATTTTGGATAACTCACGATGCTGACAACCTCTTCATTCTGAAAGAGAAAGAAAAGAACAAAAACAAGGTGTGAAGGACACGTAAAAAATAAAATATTTAGTAAATTAAATTGTTAAACTGAAAATGAAGAAATAAAACCCAAAGTGCATTTAAAAATGAATGAGTTAATGCAGTGCCAAATTATTAACCGAAAACATAACGTAAAATGTGTAGATTACAAAATTATAAAATAACAATGAAGGGTTTATGAGGTACTTATGTCTATTAAGACATTTTTTAATAATATTAATATATATAACCAAGTTCCAAATGTTCCAAAGTAAGCATTTATATTTATATATATTTTGTCTAATTATTTTCTATGTTTTCTTTGGGTTTTATGGCATTTGCAATGAACGCCAACTCCCTTCTCTGAACAACTCGTCACCGGACCAAGGTTGAGTCAACTTATAAGGCCAACTCGAGCTAGAGTCATGCTTAGGTATTTAAACATTTTGGACAGACTTGTTTCACAAATACATGGTTTCTGAGGCCCAGAAACAAGTTTTCATCGGTGTGTTAACAATGCTTCCCGCTTTAAATTGCTGTGAACTCATTACTCAATTAACAGGTAGCTTATCAGCGAAACATGTGCGCTAAGAACCGGGGAGCAGGGGAACCTGATGAGCTCATTAGGGGGCTAAGGGGCAGGAAATAGTCCACTTCTTATATGTGAGAGTGTGAAAAGAGATTGTGGGAGGAACGGGACTCGGGCCTAGGCACCGACACTGTCTCTTTGCTTTAATTTGCATAGCTGTCCGATTAAAGACTGGCGAAGCTTACAAAGTGCAAAATCAATCAGAGAATTGGGGTGAGAAATAAAAATAAAATAGACTGCAAAGGCTCAGAGTGGGCTGTTGGGAGGCTACACTAAGGAAAATTTGGGTTATATTGTTATAAAAATCAATATCACATGTTGGAATAAATGGAGAAGAAAAAAATCTAGTTGTTTTATAATTATTGAAACCCTTCTTTAAGCAATTACAATTTAGAAAATAATGGAATATTCTTAGCTCATTTCGAAAGTTTTTAATTGAAATAATATATAAGATAAGATGTTTTTTATGGATTTAATTATTATTTCTATAAGATGATAAATCCACCTAAATTTTGGTTTCTGTGCAGGGTATTGCGTGCGGTGGTCATAAAATTTGAGGACCGACTGACTGACTTTATTGATTTCTGGTCCCCGGCTTTTTAACTCTCTTTTGCTTGCCCTCTTCCGCTTCTTATTTTCTTTCTCTCTCTCCCTTTGCCTCCCTTTTTCTCTTCATTATTGGGAGCTATTTTTCGCCAGTTTGAATGTCAATGACCAGGCGTAGTCAGCTGATGCATAATAAACAATTGTTGGATGCGTTTTTACATAATTAAGCGTGTGTGCGAAAAAGAGAGAAGTGCTGGCAAAGAGAGCAAAGAAAGCATGTTTCTTCGATTGTCTGTAACATTTCCGCTTGGGACACTTTTATAGCCTCATTATCTGGTGTTTGTGCCAGTTTCTTTTGTGTGCGAATGGATTTGATTGTGGGCGTTAAGGAGCAAGGCCCAAGAACATATTGTACACACATTTATACATTAAGTGCGTTATCTCAGCTAAGGGCCCTGCCCGGATGAATCAGACCCTATACGCACAAATCAGCGTAGATATCTTTTCCAGAAGAAATTTAAAATTGTATTATTTCAGAGGGACGACTTTCTTAGATGTTCTCAGACAAATTATCTTGGAATATATGTTCACAATGTGTAAGATTGATCAAGAAATTCTTAAGCTTGCAGTATTGAAATTTCTTATCTTTTTCGCAGACTTCTATATTGGGGAAATAAATCTAACGATTAACCATTATCCCACAATGATCTTATTATAGTTTTTTGTATGGAAAGCTCTATGAATAGACAGAACTTGTGGCTGTGTGCTTCTTACCTTCTCAGACATGACCATGTTGTTGTCCTCCGTTCCGTAAACGGTCTCCGCTCCGGACTGTGGCCCGCCATTGTTGAGCAGGGTATCGTCGTTGTCCATCATGATGAATTATGTATATATTTGTGGAACCTCGGTTTAAAATGGGTTTCCTTATGCTCACTGGGGTTGGGGTGATGGGTAGGGAGGGGTGGTGGAGGTGCACTTGACTGCTGTTTGGGTTTGTACGTCACGCGTTAACAGTTATGCAGGCGATGCCTTTTCAACCCCAAAACAACAACAACAATAACACCAAAGCGACGGAGTGTGAGAGAGAGAGAGAGCAATATAGACTTTCGTCCCACACCTTCTCACTTGTTTGTGTCACCGTCGTATTTAAATATCACTTATTTCTAGTACATATATTTAAATAAATTGCATTTTTCTGTTCCTGCGTGTCACTTTTATTTGCGTTTTTCGTTTTGTTGTTGCTGCCTAGCCTCGTCTCAGCTCTTCTTCCCCGTCCATTCACAAACTTTGGTTGACTAGATTTCATCGTTTTTCGCACTTGTTTTTCGACGCATTTTCGGTATCGTTTCGCGCGGATTTCACTGCACACGCCCCCGCGGCCATCCGTTGCACACAATTGAGCATTTAAAGTAATATAAATATGGATTTTCACAGCATTTTGCAATAAATGTTGGAACTTGCTGACAAAACATCGGGGCAACTATTGAGACTATCGATGGTTGGGTATCGTTTTCAAAACATCGATATTTGCACTACCGAACTATCGGAACTGATTCCGATTCCAGAAACCAAAAAGCTATTGGTATCGTTATAGCTATCTAGTATTTATCGTAAACGGTCATACTGCTTCAACGTCACGCGCCCAGTTGTTGTTGTTTTTATTAATTTCCCTTTGCACTTGCATTTATATTTAGTCGAATTAAAAATGGTTTTTGTGAAGAACTGGGAGGATTTTGAGATCGCCGCCGAGAACATGTACATGGCGAATCCCCAGAACTGCCGCTACACGATGAAATACGTCCACTCCAAGGGCCACATACTGCTCAAAATGACCGACAATGTTAAGGTTCGTTTGGTGATTTTCAGTTTTCGGGGAGCACACTTTCATTAATCCCTTCCTTTATTTTCAGTGTGTGCAGTATAAGGCGGAAAATATGCCGGACTGAAGAAGATCGAGAAGATCACCAGCAACCTGGTGGGACACATGGCCTCCAAGGAGTAAAAAACACGAACAATCTTCAATTTGGCCACGGCGACACTTCTGCCTTGCGGCCAGCCAACAACAAAAGGCGCACACATGTATATCAACCCCACGGCTGTTATTGTTGTTGCTGCTCGGTCGGGCGTATGTGCCTGTGTGTGTGCCATCAAAACACCCGCAACTGAATTTAGTTTTTAAGCGCGTTTGCCCCGCCAATTTCGAATGTGGTGATCAGAGTAGTCTTTAACGTTTTTTAAACGACATTTCATAAATGTCGGCTCTGTACACGTTGCGAACACAAATGGCAGGCGGAAAATGTACATATATACAGATGTCCCATCTGCTTGGCGGCGGCGCGAAAGGAAAAGTTTTTGAAAAAGTTTACGAAACGATTTTGTATTTATGTTATTGTAAATGTCAAGAAGTCGAACACACATTTCCATGAAATGCTTTACATGATATAATACCAAGGGAATAAAGCAGAACAATACAACAACAGGTAATTCAGAACGTTACTATTTTAATTTTGCCGGCCAATAGCTGGTTTTTTAATTCTGTCTGTTAAAAGACTGTCTAATGAAGGTTCGAATGAGGTAATTTTCAGATTAAACATTTTTTTAACAAATAACAATCTTATAAGATCAGGACACTAGTTTTTCGGAGAATTTCAAACGATTCGATGAAAATGAGTGATTTTCCCTGACTGCAAGTCGGTGTCTAGTTATCATTTGAAGAGGTTTTCCAAAGAACTCTTAATTGCCTAACCATTAAAGCGATTAAACAGCCAGAGCAAACAGTTAACAAGCCAACCCACCTCTTCTTAGCCTACCGGCAGCAACAGCAGGAGCAGAAGAATCACCGATGGGAACTGGCAATGGGCGTAGGAATGGGATGCTGATGGCTGGCTCACTTAATAATCCGAGAGCAAATATTGGTTATTTGCATGTGAGGCACTCGAGTTTATTTGCCGCAGGAGATTGACAGCAGCCCGCCGCGGAAGATTGATAGAACGGATGGCCACCGGACCTCGGGACAGGTCGGAAAACGAAGATCGGTAGCCAGAAGTGTTTGCCCAGAAGAACGCAGAAGGCACTCGACGGAGCTCAGGTGGGACTTAGCTGCCGCTGCCTGAGCGGAGGCAACTCAGTAGCCACTTTGGATTAAGGCGCGTTAAGGAGCGTTTGCTTGACCCACAGAAGATCCGCTCGAGCGGACCTTTTGATCAGCCCTCCGGCCCTACAGTTGCAGCTCAAGCGGACCTTGGCGATTGAAGACACCGTCACCGTCACCATCACCATTCCACCATCATCATCGTCAGAGTCAGAGTCAGCGTCATAGTCAGTGTTTCCGGCCGTTTCCCGACAAGCTCATTTGGCTTCTGTTTGATGGGGCTGGCCGATGGAGTGGAACTCCGCCAGCCAGAGGTACTGTGGATCCGATGGATCCTCTCCCCATCGGATGTTTGTGTTTGCCCGGTCTTCTGTGCTTTCCGAATGCCCTCTGTTTTGCTTTACTCGATTTTTGTTTGGCGTTGGTTGCTATCCACATTGCATTGCAATCACAATCACTTTAGGCGGTGGCTCGGCTTCAACGCTTCGATATCTCTTTGGGAGGGGTCTAAATGGAAGCGGAAGGGGTAGTAGAGTTGTTTATGTGAGTGTTTTTCTTCTATTTTAAATTTAATAAACATTTCCTCATTTCCAAGTATACACCAATATCTTTTATAATAAATAAAATTCAAATCCTTTTCAAATCCAAACTCTCAATGTTTCGAACATTTCATTTTAAATGTCTTTTGGTATTGAAACCGAAGCCCCAATAAATTATATTTATATGTAAACCCAAATAACTGCAGCAACTTTTATCAAAATCAACAAATCAAAAGTCGGAGTCGACAACAAGCAATCTGTAAGGCTTCTATATAGTCCCTTCGAACATATATATGTATGTATATTCGTAGTTTTATTAAATATATGAAAGATTATATAGGGGGGGCTATGGCTACTGGTGTTGGAAAATGAGGGTCGTAAAGAAGCATAGACCACAGGAACGAACGGTGGCAATAATTTCGATCTTTACAAGACGATAAAGCTCATGGTTTAATTAGGCCCCACCAGGCCCCCAGGTCCCCAGGCCCACTTCTCCCCTGAGAAATGGTGCGATAAACTTGACAAATAACATAAATACCATTTATTGCGGGTGGTGCTTGGATGTGGATGTGAAGTGATTGGGGTTCGGTGTCTCCACTCTAAGGCCTTCTCAAATAGACCTACTAGTATTACGCGGACCATAGCGGTACGTGCTTTTTACGACACCCCCACTGTGGCGTCAATTATAAAGATATTTAAGTACAGTTAGCATGCAATTAGACGGCGCACAGTGGTCGCCTCTATCGCCATGGTCAGGCCGCCATGGAAATCCCACTGATTTAATATATATAACCGTATGTTTATATGGTATCGGGACCGCGGGCCATATAACTAAGTCCGCCTGATTGCCATAACTAGTTGGTCATATGACAATTAGTTGTAAATTAAGACCACCGATTTCTTGCACAACCTAAAGCCCCTAGCACATGTTAAGGATCTTTCAAGACAAGGGGAAAATGTAAGCTACAAATACCCTTTTGCGTTTCAGAAATATGAATTATAATACTCCTTGGAGTTAGAGTTAGGAGTTAGGATCATTTATTATAGAAATTACTCAAAGGAAAGTAGCTTTAAAGGAGCATCTTTCCTGAAAATATAATGTTTAAGACTTTGTTTCAAAGTAAGGAACTAGGGGAACTAGGCTTAAAAAATGTTTATCATTTGTAGAATATGTTAATCAGACTATTATATTTAGTTATTTATTATATATATTATTTCAAGACGGAAGTCACAACTTATTCGAAACTCCTTTTTGTATCTATAAATCTTATATCCAAATTTAAAGATACATTTTTGGGCTTGATATATGATAGATACTGCATAGAAAATCCCGCTTTTAAATGGTCTTTGTCCGCAAATTCCGTATGATATTAGTCACAGATGTTAGCCGCCTGACGTTATAACTCGGTCAATAGCTTGGGTCAATATAAAACTCATTAAAGCCAGGAATCATTGTCTCTGACCCCCTCTTTTGTTTCCTCGACGCGTCGGGAGCACAACAAAGCGAAATCGAAGTGCAAACCGACTAAAAGCCCCACGGGTGGATGTGGTGGACTCCAATACCCTTTCCCCCCCGCGCGATATTGACTCAAAACGGTAGCCGCTCAACAGTGGCTAATGGTCATAATTAAACGTGGCTTATTTGCATAAATCAAGTGGTGAGTTATGTTCACTTGCGCACCTGAGCGCTGAGAAGGTGATGTAGGGCGATTGGGATGACTCAAAAAGAAGCTGCTTCGATACCAAAAGATTCATTAAACTCCATTTGGTTTTCTTCACTCTCTTTTAAAGATAAACCAAGACTTCAATGAAGCTGGACCCTGATAATACTTTTATACATGGACAGAGGTTTTCTGGTAAACATCAATCATTGCTGGCACACCTTTTCAGCTATTACAAATCTAATTTCATTATCAACTTAATGATATTTTCGTTGTGCATTTATCTACATATTACTAACTCCTGTCACAAAAAAATATGACTTGACCCAACCGGAAGAACATAGCCTGCGTCAAGCGGGTTAGTAATTTAGAATGTTTCATAATTATAATCAGTCGGGAGGGTAGGAGGCTCCAATCAAGTTGAAGAGGTGACAGCATGTCTATAAGGAACCAAGCCTATAAATGTTATATCAGTTTCATTATAATTGAATCACAAAGTGTTAGCCCGAAATTTCGCAATGCCCGCTTTTGGTGACACAATATGAGTTGTTACGCTGAGATACGGAAGCAATTGGCCACTCGAGTATTTTGTGGCCCAGAGATTTGTCATAGGTCCTCTCCATCACTACCCCATACTAACACACTCTGGCATATATCTCTCCGATTCCGATTCGGACTTATCGGGGTACACAAATCAAACAAATAGCGAGCGGGGTGTTGATGAGGCGATTTCAAAATTGTTGATAAATGGCAATTGTTATTACTAATATACGATGGGCTTGGTAATGGCTTATTTATAAGGTTCATGTTCGAACAGGTAGTGGTTTTTTTTACTTGTGTTTTCATTTTTCGCCTGGTAAATCAACGTCTATGATTAGAGCTTAATACATCTTGATAAGGCAGAGGCCCATAAAAAGGAGGCAGCGGCAGTTGAGTTCCACAATTGATAAATCAAAAATTCCACTACCCCACGCCTTCTCCCCTACCCCCTCCTTCGCACTTGGAAACTCTTGGGGTTATCTCGGAAAACCAAATCGAGTAATCCCGCAATTGAGTTGATTAACCAACTAATCGAGAGATTTGCTTGCATCGAGTGGCAATTTCCTTGACTTTATCCTCCCGGGTCAAGTTTTCCGCGGTTTTAAGCGCACGCGAAACGCGTGCTACTCGCGTTTCTAGATTTCCTTCGTAAATTATCGAACTTAATTGTAA